AACCATCATTATTAACATTAGCAGCAATTTTTACATTAACCACTGTTGTGTCAGGATTGTCAACATTATCATTATTATCAACATTATCATATAGACCCTTACACTTGACTATATGGTGTCTTCCTTTGTGACATTGATAACAGTTGTTTAATTTGGCATGACAATCCTTTTCATTGTGATTACTTAGACATCTGATGCATCTGCCAAGTTTCTCCAATCTTTCAACTTTATCATTCCATGAATTGTATGCACTGCAATTCTTAGAAAAGTGAGTACCCATGCAGAAGAGACAATCTCTCTTTTCTTTGACTGGTTTCTTATTAACTGGGCTACTCTTAGGAGGGTACTTATTCTTCTTACCTTGTGGAGAATCATTATTTCTGATTCTTGCTACTTGATATGCACCTATGCAACTCTTTTTAGGAAATGAATTTTGATTATTAACATTGGGATAATTTTTCCCTTTGTGAAACTTTACAGATACCTCAGAGTTATTATATGTTGCATCTTTAAAATGAGTTGGTTGGCTGGTCTGCAACTGAACAATTAATTCTTGTAGACCTAGTCTTATTTCCTCCAGTCCAAAATAACCCTTGTGATATTTGTTTGAGAGCCATTCAAGTGTTTTACAGCTTAATTTATTCTGTACAATGGCACTCAATAACCAGTCTGATTCCTTCAGATTGTATTTATTACTGAATGTTTTGAGATTGCTCTCCAGTTTAACTCTAAACTGCTGTAAACCTTTGTAAGTGTGATCTGGAGATTTTAAATTAACAATGCTATTCACTAGATCCAACCTACTTTGTTCTATATTACCATAAGTGACCTTAAACAAGTCAACTACTTCTTTGTAAGAATCATCTACATTGGGAAAGGCTTGTGTGAGTATGTGAGCATCTCTTATCTGTCCTTTGAGGTAAAATAATTTAGTTACACAGGCTAGGTCACTCCTATCATGCACAGCTGCTTTAAAAATTGACCAAAACTTCTCCCAGTTTTCTCCAGGATTAAATACAGGTAAACATAATTCTGGGAGTTTTGGCAAAGACATCTTATTTGTTGGAGCAGATTGATTAACTGCCTGGTATATACATTTTAATTTATTCAAGGCCTGACTTTTACAAGAAAGAATCTTTTCCTCTAATTCATAATATTGATTAATCATAAGATCTACTTCAGTCTCATCTACACAGTTTACTAACAAATCTTCGTATTTATTGTAATATAATTTGTATGAATCATATCTATTCCCTAAAGCATCTAAATACAATTTTTAATCATCAGTATTCACAGTTTCTTGATTCATTAATTCCAAATACTTACTGTATGCTTTTCTTACATGACATTTTCTAGCCTGCAGTGATGCTTTTTTGCTTATATTCCATATGTTTGTCTTCTACATTAATTTCCTCATTTTCAGCCATGATGCAATGTATTAAATTCAACTTAATTAATAGCACTGATTATGTTCTAAATTATGCAATTCATAAAGGCAATATTACAACTTACGGAGACTTAAATACTGTCGGAAGGAGAGATGCAGAGTAGTAGTAGTAGTATTGAGAATGTAGCCACTGAGAGGTCATGTCCCTCTCAGATCCAACAGTTCTCACTTGAAAAGGTTGTCCAAGGTGTTTTCTGTACCAAGATGCCATGTGTTGCAGTGTCTGACAAGATGAACAGGTTGGTAGGTAAGACACATAGGCAACAGTTAGGCAACTTTATTCCGAAACTATTCACCTACACAGTAGGCTTCTTCAGTCGAATACAGAAAGTAGGCAGGAACAGTAGAGATGTGAAGATGATGTAATCAGTCCATTACCCTTGAAGTCGTAGAATTTGAGGTTGTCAGTCCCTCAGCCTGGAGAAGTTCAGTTCCAGAGTAGTAGTAGTAGTAGTGAGAATGTAGCCACTGAGAGGTCATGTCCCTCTCAGATAAGATAAGATAAGATAAGATTTCGTTCGGATTTTTAACCCCGGAGGGTTAGCCACCCAGGATAACCCAAGAAAGTCAGTGCATCATCGAGGACTGTCTAACTTATTTCCATTGGGGTCCTCAACCTTGTCCCCCAGGATGCGACCCACACCAGTCGACTAACACCCAGGTACCTATTTGCTGCTAGGTGAACAGGACAACAGGTGTAAGGAAACTTGTCGAAATGTTTCCACCCGCCGGGAATCGAACCCGGGCCCTCCGTGTGTGAAGCGGGAGCTTTAGCCACCAGGCCACCAGGCCACAAATTCTCACTTGAAAAGGTTGTCCAAGGTGTTTTCTGTACCAAGATGCCATGTGTTGCAGTGTCTGACAAGATGAACATCAAAATGGTATACAATACCGACAGGTTGGTAGGTAAGACACATAGGCAACAGTTAGGCAACTTAAAGTTGCCTAACTGTAAATGGCAACTGTAAATGGCAACTTTAAGTTGCCTAACTGTTGCCTATGTGTCTTACCTACCAACCTGTCGGTATTGTATACCATTTTGATGTTCATCTTGTCAGACACTGCAACACATGGCATCTTGGTACAGAAAACACCTTGGACAACCTTTTCAAGTGAGAACTGTTGGATCTGAGAGGGACTTGACCTCTCAGTGGCTACATTCTCACTACTACTACTACTACTCTGCACCATTACAACTTACCTTTGAATAAATCCTAGCTACACTTGAGCTTAGCAATTACATGTAACAAAATTATAATATAAATTTTAAATACACATTAATAATGTTAGCTACACTTGAGCTTAGTAATTACACATGTAAGAAAATTATAATATAAATTTTAAATACACCATAATATATACCTTAGCCAGACTTGGCTTATCCTTGCCAGACTTGGCTTAGCAAAATTAATGATATACAAATACACTAATATAAATCTTTGCCAGACTTGGCTGAGCAAAATTAATATTATAATAATTATCCACTACACATTAAGTAAATTTTTGGACCTAACATCCACCTCCTTCTGTCATTTCACATATAATTATTAAGTAATTAATTCATTATTAAGTAATTAATGACTTCACTAATTACATCCGGTTTGAAGGACCAACGGGCAAATTATGGAAAATTACATTTACCTGGATGAATCTCATTACATACATACAAGTAAATGGTAACAAATATAATTATTATTTATCAAAGTTACAGAGACAAGTAGGAATTTTTAGAACACCTAGGTCGCAAAAAATGTCCCCCTTCGATAGCTACCATCTATCTACCAAAGTGGGTACATAAGTTAGTTGTATATTGAGAAAAAAGCTTACTGATGTTCCTCTTCCATTTCCATCACACAGGTTGGGCTTTGTGTATGAGTTAGGAGACTTAACTAATATTAAGAGGAATTTGTTCAGTAAGTCACAATGTGTTGTCACTTAGGAACTTCACAGGTTTCTTCCAGCAGTTGTGGAGTTAGTGTTGGGCTCCTTGTTGTTCACAATTTACATAAACGACATAGATGAAGGAATAAATTTGCTGATGACACCAAAATAGGCCGTCCAGTTCATTCTAATGAGGACATTAGAACACTCCAGGATGATTTGAATAGATTGATGCAGTGGTCGGAGAAGTGGCAGATGCAGTTTAATATAGACAAATGCAAAGTTCTAAAAGTTGGACAGGAAAATTACCATGCCACATATAAACTAAATAATGTAGATCTTAATATTACTGATTGCAAAAAGGATTTAGGAGTTCTGGTTAGCAGTAATCTAAAACCAAGACAACAGTGCATTAGTGTTCGCAGTAAAGCTAACAGAATTCTTGGCTTCATATCTAGAAGTATAAATAATAGAAGTCCTCAGGTTGTTCTTCAACTCTATGTATCCTTGGTTAGGCCTCATTTAGACTATGCTGCGCAGTTCCGTATTACAGAATGGACATAAATGATCTGGAAAACGTACAGAGGAGGATGACAAAGATGATCCGATGTATCAGAAATCTTCCCTATGAGGATAGACTGAGGGCCCTGAATCTGCACTCTCTCGAAAGGCGTAGAATTAGGGGGGATATGATCGAGGTGTATAAACGGAAAACAGGAATTAATAAAGGGGATGTAAATAGCGTGCTGAAAATATCTAGCATAGACAGGACTCGTAGCAATGGTTTTAAATTGGAAAAATTCAGATTCAGGAAGGATATAGGAAAGCACTGGTTTGGTAATAAAGTTGTGGATGAGTGGAACAAACTCCCGAGTACCGTCATAGAAGCGAAGGATGTGAGTTGGACCTGATTATCTTGTGCTACTATGTAGGATGCCATGCTCCTCCCTGAAGTGAACGTGACTGACCTGACTAGGTCAAAGCATTGGCTTAAGCCGGTGGGAGAATGGGAGCTGCCTCGCATGGGCCAGTAGGCTTGCTGCAGTGTTCCTTCTTTCTTATGTTCTTATGAATTATTATTATTCGGGATAGCTTATCATACACTTTGTAAATGTGTCATTGTTACAGAACAAAAAAAAGAAAGTTAAAAATAATCATATGCCTATCAGTACTTATTGATACAAATTTTAAAATAATCTTTTCAATTATTCCACAAAATTATACCTGAACATCAAGAAACAATCTCACTCACTAATGTTCAACAACACAATTAATTTTGGTTAAACTGTGTACATTATTTTTGCTTAATATGTTCATTAAGATAATTTGTATAGGAGAAAATATCAGAAAAATCCATTACTATCTCATGAATGGATCTTTACAGACTTTTATCTTGCTTGACTCAATTTTGAAATAAAACTGAACATAAACACACAAAAATTTATGTACACCCGCAGTGTGTTGTTATTCTTCCTTTATGATATTTACATAGAGACTGAATTTCTTGTCTCAAGTGATGAAATCTGTCAGCCTCAGCTGAGAGTGTTTATGAGGGTAAGACGGAAAGGTGGGACAGAGGGATGAAAGCTAAATTGGCAAGGAGATGATTTAATTTACAGAATATTAATATAAAACATTGAGATGTTCTTGGGATTAGTGACACAATACATTAGAAAATAGTAAGTTATTTTCAAATGGATTTCAGGATGGGAGTAGAGGTGTGGTTGTTGGTGGCTGGAGTAGTGATGGCAGCTTGGGCATACTCCCGCTGGCGCCACAGCTACTGGTCGTCTCGAGGAGTCTCAACCCCTCCTTATCTTCCCTTCCTCGGACATTTGCACAAGCTTTTATCGTTATCTCAGACTCGATGGCGTTATGTCGATGAGGTTTGTACTTACCACTTAATGATCTTCATCCAAATCCTTGTCAAGGCTTTTGATGTAAGATCAACTCTTACATATTTTGGTAATGTATATCACTATTTTAAATAAATAATAAAAATAAAAAGTATTTAGGAATTTTAAGAATTCTTAAAGGCGTGAGAATGGTGGTTAATACGCTCACATAATGATGAGAACTTGTTTCCAGGTGTATCACAAGTATGGAGGTTCAACACTCAGTGGACTGTATGAGCTGTTTCGTCCTGTTCTCATGATTGGCGATCCTGACCTACTCAAAAACATCTTCGTTAAGGATTTTGATCATTTCGTGGACCGTCGAAAGTTTCTAGCTGAAGAAGGAAGCATTTCAAACATAATGCTGAGTAACATGACCGGAGATGAGTGGAAGACTCTCCGGGGGATCATGAGTCCCACTTTCACGTCCGGCAAGATGCGCTCCATGTTTCCTCTGATCTGTGAGAAGGCCGATGCTCTTGTTTCTTTTTCTCTTAAAGAAGCAGCTAACAAACCTTTTGTTGACATGAAGGTAAACTTTGGAAGGTTTACTATGGATACTATTGCTTCCTGTGCTTTTGGTATTGAATGTAATTCTTTTAAGAGCGAGGTGCCAGAATTTTCCAAATATGCAGAAATGTTTTTTAATTTTTCCTTTTTAAGGATCCTAAAATTTACTCTTTTTAACATGTTCCCGACGATCGGTAATGCCCTGAGAATCAAAATAGATTCACCAGCCATAAAATATTTTTCGAATGTTGTAGAAGAGACAATTGCAGCCAGAAATGCAGGACAAAGACGGGGTGATTACTTGGACTTGCTCTTGGACGCTCGAGCTGGTGTTAGCCATCCCATTATTACTGACACATCAACTGTCCCACACAACCAGTCCACCACTACCCAGGACCGTACTGCCCAGGAGACCAACCACGACTCTTCTGTCACTAACGTTAACAACATTCCCATCACTCAGTCTAAGCAAGGTCAGTGATGATATATTATCAGTATTTTTTTAGTTAACTCCCAACCCACTAGTGCACCAACCCACCAGCCCACCAACCCACTGTAGTGATACTGCTCCTGTGGGGAGCAGCAGCAGAATAATACTGCACCACCTCTCGGGGCCCTTAACAACAACAACAGTTTGGTGTGTGTCATGGGTGCCAACACATGGTGTGTGATTCTCTTCTCTTCTATCCCTATATTAATGATGCAGATTACATGGTGAGTTTAAATATGTGGCCTGTAGTTATAACTTTTCTCTTGACATATGCAAGACATCACCATCCCTGTAGAAGCCATTATTAGATGTACTAGTCATTATATTTTGTTGTTGCAGAAGTACTATGAAGATTCTATGTTCAATAAAGCCTAGAGATAAGGCCTGTGTTTCTATCACAACACCCACCAACCCACCAGCCCTCCAACCTTCTATCCCACCAACGCACCAGCCCACCAACCCACCAACCCATCTTCCCACTAGCCCACCAACCCACCAGCCCACCAACCTACCAGCCCAACAACCTACCAGCCCAACAACCAACCAATCCACCAGCCCATCAACCCACCAACCCACCAGCCCTCCAACCCACTATCCCACCAATGCACCAGCCCACCAAACCCCCAACCCATCTTCCCACTAGCCCACCAACTCACCAACCCATCTGCCCACCAGCAAACCAACCCACCAATCTATCTGCCCACCAGCCCATCAATACACCAGCCCTCCAACCCACCAGCCCACCAACCAACCAGCCCACCAGTCCACCAACCCACCAACCCAGCAGTCCACAAACACACCAGTCCACCATCCCACCAGCCCACCAACCCACCAGCTCTCCAACCCACTAAGACACCAGCCCAACTGCCTTCCAACCCACCATCCCACCAAGCCACCAGCCCGCCAGCCCACCAACCCACCAACCCATCTGCTTACCAGCCCACCAACCCACCAGCCCACCAATCCACCAGCCCACCAGCTCACCAACCCACCTGCTTACCAGCCCACCAACCAACCAGCTCACCAACCCACCAGCCCACCAACCCATCAATCCACCAGCCCACCAACCCAGCAGCCCACCAACCCACCAACCCACCAACCCACCGAATGGTTGCACAATATTACAGCTTAACACAAATCAATATTAAGTACAAATACTTAGTTAAAGCAATCACTGTGATGCTACGATTGGAAATTATGATTGAATTGCATCTCAAGTCAGTCTTAATATATGATCCACTACGATTCCTTTATTTTATTTTGACTTTTTTTCTCTTTATTGAAAAGTTTTCGTGATGATAATTTTTGAACTTTGGATAATAGTTTAAATATTGTACTTATTTAATATCCTGTTAGAGCTGGAAAATTTGGATCTGATAAAACATAGTTTATAACAAGTTTAAAAGTTTATAGTTTATAACTAAGGGCATAACTAAGTTATCATATCATTACAGTGTTGACCAACAAAAGTATCGTGGCACAGAGTGTGTTGTTCCTTATTGCTGGCTACGACACCACGGCGTCTACTCTCGCCTTCTCATCATTCCTACTGGCCAAGCATCCCATACATCAGCAGCGTCTCCGTGAGGAGATAAAGCAGATTATCCATGAATATGGTGATATTACCTACGAGGGCATCATGGAAGCCAAATTCCTCGACGCTTGTCTCATGGGTGAGATCCTGCTTTAGAGAATCTTGTAATATGTGGGGTATCATAGAATATTACGTGTCGGTTTGGTAGCGGGAGTCAATGACGAATTGGATCCTACCTCTCCCTCTTAAGTTGCCTTGGCCCAGGAGGGCCATGCACAGTGAGGGAGAGAGGAGTAGGCCTGTTGACTCGACGATGCCTGGACACCAAGTGAGAGCGAGGCAGGGTGATGCAGGTTGAAGTGACATGCCGACCAAGCTTGTCCTCTGGTGGTAACTATAAAAGCTAGCCATATAGACTTACAGTCTACATTTTGCTCAGCCACCTACACATGGTCGTACTCGACCATGATTGCCTGTAAAAAAAAAACTCGGTCTCTCTCTCGCAGGAACAGGGCACAGAACACAGAATAGAATATATATATATATATATATATATATATATATATATATATATATATATATATATATATATATATATATATATGTGTGTGTGTGTGTGTGTGTGTGTGTGTGTGTGTGTGTGTGTGTGTGTGTGTGTGTGTGTGTTTGTGTGTGTGTGTGTCTGTGTCTGTGTGTATGTGTGGACATGAAAAAACTTCCTACAGGGAGTCAAGATAAAAAAGTTGGGGTGTGCTAAACATTGTGGTCCAAGGCAGTGAGCGTCAGTGGGCATTACTGCATGCTTTCCTGTGTTTGGAAAGATACTGCAACACAGACAGATACTGCCGTTGAGCTATGACGTAACTGGGTACGGTCTCCTCTGAAATGGCGAAGCAGTCATTGTAGTAGTCGCTGCAGAGTTCACTCATCCTGGGGCACAACCTGTTGGTGCTCCCAAGTCAGGCATCCTCAGTACTCGGCAACTGGGCAGAACTTCTGGCAAGTGACTCAGGACGAAATTTCTCAACTGGTACTGTCGCTGGGGCTGTCACTGCCAGCAAGTGTGGAGTGAGTCATGACAGGGACGACTCAGCAAAACATCTGGGAATCACAACAGCATACACCTTACTGGAGAGGGCAAGCAGTCACAGTAACATCATCTTTGTGCAGGCTGCTCACTGAAGCTTTGACAAAAGTTAGTTGCCTGCCAACAGGGATACTGTGGCTTGACCAGTGTCATTCTCTCGACAGTTGGAGTTACAACAGAGGCTAGTCTAAGCATCCTCAGACTGGTTCTCTACATATAGCTGCACTCTGATGGTCAGGAGGTGGAGTGGAATGAGTTTCGATAGGGAATCATAGCAGGTACGACTCAGCAGGGCATCTACGAGTGACAAACAATAAGAGCTTTCTGAACAAGGGGCTCAGATGCTCGTAACTGATGCCTGGACTGACTAATGTCAGCTGTCAACGGTCAAGGATGTAACACATGGGTGATACAGTGGTGGGGGCTAGACCATACTGTGGTCCACACACACAGCTAGGTTCAGATCACTTAATCAGGGACACACAAAACTTGCACACACCTGCACTGCACATGTGGTTACATCATGGCTTGCACTAGCAAATGATGCTTTTCCATGCAAAAATTGACACTAAGCCATATGAACATGCGAGAACACTGACTGAGAGGAATAACAAGTGACATAGAGCATCTCTCAATCTTCTCGACAATACTGCAACAAAACGCTCACTGTGAAACTAGAACACTCGATGTGACATCATGTGGTGATGTCAGGCATGATGTCATGAGCAATGTCATGGGGTGACATAGCGAGAAGTCAGGCAGATGTCCAGGGTGACGTCATGAGGTGATATGGAGTGACATTGCAATGTGATTTCAGGCAGCATGGTGACATCAGGCAGACATTGCAAGGTGATGTCCTAGAGTGACGTCAGACAGCATGGTGACATCAGTGCAGTGATGTGGAGAAATTTTCTCCAGGAGGGGGGTATCAGCCCCCTTCAGCCCCTTTCAGCCTCTTTCAGCCCTGAGGGGCCCAGCCCTCTCAGAAGAGGCAAATATCTTGTTTATTGCTACAGCGAGTAATTGACCCCAGATGCAGTACCAATATGTGACATGGCTTGCTGCTCCTTGCAGTCCAGTGTTGCAGAGTGTATTTTAATAAGAGACAGTACATCTCTTACTTTAGCAGGACAATTAAGGAAAATCCTGCTCCCACTTCATTACCATAGTAAAGATAGTGGACATTGTTGTCTATGCTTAAGACAGCAAGATTTAAACATTCTGCTTTGCTTCATCGAGGAAGTGGCAAGGAAGCAAAAGTACTATGTCAGCTTTTCCTTTGTGCAAGGGGCAGTGATGGCGTGGGGCACTGTGGCGTCTTGAGATTACTTTTGACTCTACTGAGAGTGACACTGACGCCAGGATAACCAACAAAGAACGATCTGTGCGTTAGTGTGAACAAAGTATCTCATAAACCACAATAAACACTTAGAAGTGTGATCAGCTTCTTTATAAGATTGTGAACAATAAAGACAAATCTTGTGGAACATAGTGTACCAGTGTGCGTATTCCTAGACTATGGAAGACGTGGACATCCAAGGACACTTCAGCTTCTATCAAGTCACCGATATCTGTTGAAGGTGTGAAGAACACCATAGCTCACGCTACAAGAGCAAGGTAGGTTACGAATTTCTTGTAGTACGGGGGACTGCGCAGTTCTTGAGTCGCAAGGAGTTTGTAATCAACCTATAGTCGGCAGTAAGGTGCAGACTTTTGAGTCCAAACAAGTATGTAATTTGTCAGCCATCAGTGAATGAAATATGCTGACATAACACCCCCTAGGGGTAATTTATAATCTTACAAATTATAACTCTTTACAGCCCGTTGAGAGATGACTTCGACAGCTTCTCAAGACCTCGTCTGCAGGGGCGGCTGCGCAGACGATGAGCTGTCTTTCTAAGTTACATACAAACTCTTTAAACTTAGCTGGTAATGCCATTTCTCAACAAGTGAAGTCAGGCAGCATCATGGGTGACGTCGTGAAGTTGGACAGAATCATGACATCAGGGTAGTGATGCAGACAGCATGGTGACATGATGGGTTGATGCGGGCAGCAGCATGGGTGACATCGTGAGATGATGGGGGCAGCAGACCACAGCATGGCTTGGGATCTGTCTTGTTATCCCATGTGGCTTGTAGATATATGTGGCTTCGAGTGACCTCAGTTACTCAGATACACAGCTCTGGCAAAGAATTCACAGAGAAACAGCAGAGAGGGAGTGAGACGGTGAGTGGTGTAGTGTGATGGTAGAAGCGTGGTGGCATATGGTGAGCTTGAGTGAAGCAAGGACTCTGCCGCGTCCTTCTCCCTACCCACACACTCAGAAGATAGTGCAGATTCTACTACACTGGGCACAGAAATCACCACAAACTCACATCTGACTTGCTGAAACAGCTGTGCTGAGCTGAACAACAGCAGCAACGTACAGGTGACCCCAAACACACGACTGCGAAACAGTGTGGGGCACTGTGGGATGAAGTCACAGGGGACGCCATTTATATTTCTTGAAGAAATTTGGGAAATTTCGGTCTAGATTCTGCTTGTACCTGTGTCTGGAAGCTGAAACTTGCAGACACAGCATCAGCATAACTCACTGAGAGAGGGATGCTTCTCATGTGGGGCGATGAAGTGAAAACATCTTCATTCCCCTTCCTCTCTCCAGGCAAACAACTGCTGCGACACTGCTGCCACCAATTATCATAGAATATTAAGTGTTGGTTCGGTAGAGGGAGATTTCTTCTTTGTGGTTCATTGTACACAGGCAGTGTGTTTAATTTAAGTTGCCCTGGCTCAGGATGGTGATGCCCAGCAAGGAAGAGAGGAGTAGGCCTGTTATAAAAACTATAAAAATTAGCCATGTAGGCTTACAGTCTACATGGGGTTTAAACCTTGGCTCTAACAAGATTTATTTGTGGTCACAGTTTGGCCCATACTAACTTCCCTTTGGTGTTTAGAAATGCATCCAGTTGATTGAGTCCTATTAAAGTCAGCTGCCCAAGTTGTTAACGCACTGGCTTGTGAGTTTTAGATCTCACTTGGCATGGGTTCACATCTCACCTTTTCCGCAATTTGTTTGCAACCGTGTTATTAACATTTCCTAAGTCTTGCTTTAGTGCATAGTTGAAGATGACGGTCAGATGTTAAATGAAAATTGTGTGTCAGTGTTGACATAACTGTTTAATATTTTCTATTGACTGTGACTTTTAAAATTATTATGTTGATATATCAGACATGCATTAACTATTTATTTCTTGTTTATGATTCAAATAACGAGATACGACCTCGTAATATTTCATCATTAATAATATTTAAAATTCAACATTATCTTGCCTACATCATTCTCCTGCTATGTATCTATACTGTTTTCGTTGATATTAAAATAAAACAATTATTGCAATATTTTAAACAATGTGGAAAATTCATACGTTGAAAAAACAGAGCAACTGTTGAGAAACTTGACTTAAGAAATCGTAATGACACGATTGCAAATAAACCATGACCGCGGGTTCAATCCCGACCGGGGGTATGGTTGAGAAACTTTTTCAGACGTTTCGCCTGTGGAGGACACTGTCAGTGTACAGTTGAGGCTAACAAACATAATTATACATAGTCAGGTGAGAGGCAGGTCACTAAGGTAACCATGTGTGACCCATCCTTTTAATAACTACCTCACATTTTCATATAGGGTTTGAAGCACATTTTTAATTTAGGTTAGGTAAGGTTAGGTAATGATAGGTTAGGTAAGGTTAAGTAATGATAAGTTAGGTAAAGTTAGGTAATGATTGGTTAGCTTTGGTAATGTTTACTTATGTTAGATAAGTTTGGGTTAGGTTAGGTAAGGTTGAGTTAGGTAATGTTACAACAGAAAAACCTCTAATTATAAAATAAAAGGTGATAATAAAGTGTGCTGAGCGAACACAATATGGGAAGCCACTCGACACAGCTGATGTACAACAGTCATATTTCAACTGTTCAAGATTCCATCAATAACCATCTAGTTGACTGTTTAGATAACAGTGCCTTGATGTCTATGTTGAAGAGAACGAGCTGC